CCCCAAAACCCCAAAACCCCAAAACCCCAAAACCCCTAAATTTTAGGCATGAATTGAACTTATAAAATCTATTCGATTCCTTTAATGGCAAGAATTCGGTCAATGATCTTATGTTTGATCTCATATTCTGAAAGAGCAATGTTGCTCTGACACTCAGTGATCTTCACTTCAACTTCTTGAATCTATGGGTTAACAAACAGCTAAGCTACCATGTGGCTGAGGGATGGGCATCTATAAAAAATTAGGCTTGGTGAAAACATTAGAAGCAACTTACGGATTGATACTACCTGCTATCTTATCTTTGTCAAATTCTACCCCTATTGTAGTAAATGCTCTTTCGATCAAATTTATTATTATTCCACTGATCTCACTCATTTCATCTATATGGTAAGGTAACTATACATAATTGAGAAAAGTAGTTCAGGAAAGTAGTTTAAATCATTTAATCAATGAAAGTATATGGAAGTAAACCATACCGTCATCATTGGTCTCGATTGCGCTCTCAATATAGTTTAACTGCACATCAACCTCTTCGTCACCTGAAATATCCACTACGAATATGAAGAATTGGTCATTCCTCTATAAAAAATCATCTCTATTTTCCATGAAAAACTAAAGTTAAAATCTGAAACTTCAGGAGCTTCAAAAACCAACTTAAAAGGCAGACTGGTTTTGGAAATAACTATAAATCTTACATGGATAGGTATGATTAGGATTTTATGTTCATTGAGATCTTGCAGTTCCTCATCAATAGCATTGGAAATATTTCCTGTTTTAGTCTCATGATTAAACTCGTCAAAAAGGTCAGTCTCGAACACCTTTATTCTGAAGAATTTACTATATGAAAATTTAAGACCAGCTCATTGGGTTATACTAGCTTCTCTCATAGAAATACCTGCTTGTTTGGGAGTAATCTTTATACTTTAAAAGGAAATAAAAATAATTTCAGCTCTTATATTCAGAATGAGAGGCATATGAAATTCTAAAGAAACTTTTTGCGGCACAAATCTGACATTAAAGAGACACTTACTCGCTTTTCATATACTCGAGTCTATCAATTTTGAGTTCACTATACACATCAAGCAGCCTCAGATAGGCATTGATAAGGCCGATAGGGTATTCTGTGTCTTTGAAGAACTTTCCAATGTCAGTTATTTTTACTTTCTCTACTCATTCTTTAAGGAAACCATCAGCATCTGCAAACTCCTGTGAGCAATCTTGACTTCCTCTGTTTGAAGCGTACCTATGGTAAGAAGATAAGCTATCAAGTTATAGAGTGATTTTGACAATATTAAAGCTTTTTTAATCCTTCGAATCAAAACAAATGTTAATCCTTACCTGTAAGAGTGGCTAAACCTTGGCTTTTTCTCACCATTCCCTTCCTCTAGGTCATATGAATCATTTAAGGTTGACTTAAGGAAAGGGAGTTTGCAAGTTTTTGGCCTACAAATGTATTCTCCATCTTCCATCATTCTCTCAAAATAGAGGTCAAAGATCTTAAGCAATCGATCTCCATATCGGTCTAAAAGAGAGATTAAGCAAGCATTTTATGAAAATAATTCAGAAATTTCTAGAATCAATGATTGAAAAGTAACACCTCTTTATTGTGGTGACCTTAGAAGGCATCAAATCACTTGATCAGAAAGAAATTAAGGATTTGATTTATTAGACTTACTCTTGAAATAATCTTTGTCAACTTGGTCATCAGATGAAAGATCGGACTTCCCTTCGACATTTGATGTATCATTGTGCAGGACGATTGATTTGCCACCTTCGTCATACATACGCTTTTCTTCTATAAATTGTGGTTGGCTTACCTTCTTCGTATTTCTCAATTTGCCCTAGGTGCTCTTCATTGTCTGATATAAAGGACTCGTAACTGTCTTTGGGTATTAAAAATCAGATTACCTTCAGGGAATGGATGCTCAGAGACCCGAATATTCTTTATACCCTTTAAAATGGATGTAGTCATCAAATTCTGATTATTACTCACAGGAGTTTTATTCTCTCTATCCTTGTTTTTGGAAAGAACTTGATCAAGCCTAGCTTGCTTTTCTTCTTCCAGAGGCTTCCTCTTGAGTAACTGTCGAAAGTTCTGTGGCTTCAAGCCAGCTAGAAATTAATTTAAAGAGTACAATCAAGCTTCTCCTCAACGAGGTCTTCAGGAGCTACCTTCTTCAGGGCTCTTTTCTTATGTCCATTGACAAACTCTCGAAACTTCTTCACAACCATTTTGGATTGAAAGATGAAATCTTTGGCTTCTTCAAGAATTGTGATAAATTCCTTCTTGCTGATCCTTTCTTTCTTCAAAACTATAAGTTCTCTTAGCAAGCTTACTCATAGAGGTCCTGGATGTCTCGTTAAATATGTAATTTCTCAACATGAACCTAGTGAAATCATAGAATATTTTGCAATTGTTGGTTGCAAAGGCTTTAAACTTGCCAAATTCAGGGTCCTCTCCTATATCTATTTGGTGATACTCGATAAAGGGTAGAATTGCACCAGAAAAGTATGTGGCTAAGACATTCCTCATGTTCTCATCCTTGCAATGGAACATGTACTCTCCTTTCGGAGTAGGGTGATCACTTTCATCAGAAAGGTCATTGTCATCATCTTCATATTCATTGATTATCTGGTTGATAAGAGTCTTAATTTTTTTGATATCGGTATCTCTTGATATTAAAATGAAGAATAAGATAACCTTTTGAGAATTTAGTATGTTTCCCTTATTTATGTGTTTCTTTCTTCTTTAGAAAATATTTCTCCTTAAGGAACCGCAAGAGATTGGAGGTAGATGTGGGGATAACCTCTCCTGAATCTGTCCTTGTCTTTGAAAGATCCTGCAGGATCTCCTTTAGACGTATTTCGCTGATTCTTTCTTGATGTGAAACATTCTCAATCCTTTCGATTAGCCTGAAGAGTTTGATAGGCTATTATATTGGTGAATCATGAAGGCTTAAGTATGGGAAGTACAGAATCTTAATTGAAACTGTATAACTTACCTTGTTATTAGCATCTTTAAACCTTATCAATTTTTCAGTCTCTTGAAATTCCTTGGTAAACTATAGAAGATGGTAAATGGCTCTGTTTCAAAGGTTAATTTTAAATAGAGAATGTTTAATAGGCTATTGAATATGTATCTAGCTGGCATCATTGTAATAAGTTATGATTTTAGAAATCACCAGATCCTCTATTCAAAACATTTGACTTCACTCTGGTTCATTGAAGCTTAAAAGACTCTTGAAACTTCTGCCAATTCCACTTACGTTATTTTTCTCAGGCAGAGTTATAATGCGGCTATAGTAAGGATAAGCTTCAGTTCAAAGCGCAATATAAAATCTGAAATAATCTGGTTCCATATTCTGGGGATTGAAACTTAATATGGCTCTGCCCAGTCAGGTGTATTCCTCCCACAATAGCTTATCTGAATATATACAAAATTGGTAGATGGAGATGGTGATTACCTTTCATCTAATCCTGAACCCTTGATCTCTTGCCTTGATGAGCAGCAACGAAAGATAGAGTCGAACATTTTAGGTAAAAGAGTAATTTAATTGTTATAGCAATAATTATTTATTTTAACGGGGTTTTGGGGTTTTGGGGTTTTGGGGTTTTGGGGTTTTGGGGTTTTGGGG